GTATTGTAATAAAGACATGTGTGGCTTGTTGAATTTTTATTTTATTGTAATAAGGACATTGTATGGCTTGCTGAATTTTCCTTGTACTATAATGAAGACATGTGTATGGCTTGCTGGATATGGCTTGCTGTTTTTTTCGTGCTAGATATATGTATGGCTTGCTGTCTTTTTCGTGCTGGATATGGCTTGCTATTTTTTTTGCAATCTGATTTTTAAATTTGAATGACATTGTGATAGGAAAATGAAATTTGAGGCTACCGGGGAGTAGGCTGAGGGTGGTGGCCATGTCACTTGGCCTTCTGCAATGTCTTCTTTTGTGCTTACTTACCTTGCCAATGTAGTGGCTAGTGGCAAAACATCATCGGGTTTCAAGAAGACCCATTTGAACTCTTATGCTAAGGCTTTGAAAGACCATTTCAAGTGCAAGAGGACTGGGGAGCAGATTAGTAACCATCTTAGAATAAAAAAGAGGAAGTATGTGAGGATCAACAAACTCGGAGTTTTGAGTGGTGCTCTTTGGGATGAAGTCAACTATGTCATTTCACTTGATCATGAGCATTATACAAGCTATATTGCGGTACCCTTGCTGCCATAATTTTTATTTCAATATTGTCTTCTAGTTTTCCTTCTAGTTGGTCTAATAGTTTGTCCATATATTGCAATGCAAGGACCATAAAGCTGATGCAGAATTGTTCAACAAGCCTATTGGGCACTATGGTGAGATGGCTACTATCTTTGGTGCTACTGTGGCCACAAGGAAATATGCAAAGGGATCAAATGAGCCTCTAGCAACTGGAATTGGTGAAAATGAACAAGGTGAACTGGAATTGGTGAAAATGAACAAGGTGAAGATGGTGGGGATGGTGATACTGCTGCTACTATTGCTGTTGTTGATGGAGCGACATCTTCAGTTACTAGGCCTAACAAAAGAGCAAAGACAGATGAAAGGGAGAGGTAAGATGATGGACTGATACATGCAATGGAAGAAGTTGGGGAAAGAATCCCTTGTGCTATAGAGAAAGCCGAATGCCTGATGAACTTCCGAAGGTCTGTATGATGCTGTTTGTAGTCTTCTAGGCTTTGATGACACCCATCTATCATTTTACCATGAGCATCTTGTTGACCGTCCAAGCAAAGCTAGAGCCTTTTATTCTCTGTCTTTATCTCACAAGCTGAACTGGGCTGCAAAGTTCATTACCGAGCACTTCCCTGAAAATTGAAGATATGACTGTTATGCCTTGTTGCACACTACTGCTACAGCTGTTTTGCTAGTACCCCATAGACAAAGCACTGTGTGTTAATCTATATATTTGTAGCAGTTGTGCTCGTAACCCATTAAATATTGCACTATTGGGTTATTATATATTTTGTATGTAATGTGAGGAAGTTCTAAAACCTGCTAATTATCTATATATGTAATTTCTGTTCGGACAATGCATGTGTTTATCAAGGTGTCATATGTTTTGTACATGTGTTACAGCTGTTGTGCATGTTTTCTTGGGTAACCTCACCAGTTTGGGTAGGTGGTGACTGCGTTTCCCTTGTCCATCCTTGTCCATCCAACCAAACAAAAAATGGCTCGCCCTGTCTAACACATATCCATCGAACCAATCAGAAAAATGGCTCATCCCATCCGCCCAACCAAACAGATAATATGGATATCCATATCCCGATATCCATGGATATCTATATCAATCCACCATGTCCTCAAACCAAACGCACCCTTATATTTCATGATGCATGGAGGGAGTAATGTTAAACATATTCCATCTCTTCTTCTACTACAAGAGACTAATCAAAACTATTCTAGGTACACCTAAATTTGCCCAATCAAAACTATCCTAGGTACACCTAAATTTGCGTCCCATAGAGATGAGTTTTTCTTTATGTACCACAGTTTATACACCTATAGAACTAGCACCGTTAAAATCAATGGCTGAGAGCCTTATGAGACTTCGTCCATAAACAAGTATTTGGAGCCTATGATCGGGGATCTTCATACGGCTCGGTACGCTGATTGTGTCTTCAATGAAGACTATTTCCCAGCATTAGGGGGAGATAGGCATCCAGAAGAATGCCAGGAAATTGAATGGAATGCAACTGGGATGCAATCCTTAGACCCACGCACTAGTGAATCTGAACTATAGTCTGCCTGATGCCTTCACTGATCATAAAAGTGTGATAAGGTCGCATATACCTGCAGTAAACGCGCCAGAGAGAGTAAAGGTACACCAGAAGGTTACCAACTCTATTGTCTCCCCTAATATTAGGAAGAGGGGGAGACCTCGGGGTGCTCAGGACAAGGTTCCGCTGAGATGTCCGCAAAGACAGGGACCTGAGCCACTTGCATCACTCAAGAAATCAATTGAAGAAGCTCAACATGAAGTTGAGAACGCCCCTAAAGAGGCAACTCAACCTAAAGTTGAGATGGTCCCTGAAGGACCCCATCCTGAAGATGGAAATCCCAATGCGCCGCGCACACACTATCGCATTGGAAGATCGGAATGCCCCAGCTCAATCTTTATGGAAAATCACGATGAGTGGGAGGACGATCATGAGGAGATCACCACTAATTATGTGGAGTCGGGAGAATCATATAAAAGAAAGACCACTGTTGTCTACATATATTTCGCCTCAAAAATTGCTGATTCAATGGATCCGGATCCAGAACCAAAGTCCATAATAGAGTGCGGAAGCGCTTAGATTGGGACAAGTGAAAAGCAGCAATCGAGGCAAAATTGCGCTTGGTTTACCAAAGAGAGATTTTTGGGCCTACAGTCCCAGCACCTCCAAAGGTCATCCCTGTAGGATGCAAGTGGGTCGTCCTCCGGAAGAGGAATGAACATGGACAGGTGGTAAGATACAAAGCGAGGCTAGTCGCACAAGGGTTCACGTAGAGACCCGGCATCGATTATGATGAAACTTACTCTCCTCTTATGAGTGGCATAACGTTCTGATATCTTATATCTATGGCAGCTAACTTGAATTTAAAAATGCAGTTGATGGATGTTGTGACCGCATACTTACATGGGTCACTTGATTCAAAAATTTATATGAGAGTTCCTGAAGGACTCAAGATCCCTGGACCGAATCAAAACCGCAACATGTTCAGGGTCCGCCTACAGCGGTCACTGTACGGGTTGAAACAATCTGGGAGGATGTGGTTCAACCGCTTGAGCAACTTTCTCCTGGAGAGAGGTTACACAAATAATGATGATTGTCCCTGCGTCTTCATAAAGAAATCCAATGATGGATTTTGCATCATCTCAGTTTATGTCGATGATTTGAACGTCATCGGGACTCTAAGGGACACTGAGGAAGCAATGGCTTACCTCAAGGCGGACTTTGAGATGAAAGACTTGGGTAAAACCAACTTTTGTTTGGGCCTGCAGCTCAAACACCTCCCTGAAGGAGTGTTTGTACACCAGTCCACCTATACAAAGAGGGTACTTAAAAGGTTCAATATGAGCGAGTGCCACCCTTTGAAAACCCCCATGGTCGTTCAATCATTGGAAGCACATAAGGATCCGTTTCGACCCAAGGAAGAGGATGAGGAAACTTTGGGACCTCAAGTTCCATACCTCAGCGCCATTGGGGCACTAATGTATCTTGCAAATTGCACACGACCAAACATTGCATTTGCAGTAAACTTGTTGGCCAAGTACAGTGCCGCTCCCACCAAAAGGCATTGGGTTGGCATGAAAACCGTCCTCATATATCTAAAAGGCACTCAGGACCTTGGGTTATGGTTTCCGAACTTAACTATGGTGGGTTATGCTGATGCTGGCTATATGTCTAACCCTCAGAATGCCATATCACAAACTGGTTTTGTGTTTCTCTGTGGTGGTGCGGCCATCTCCTGGCAGTCTGTGAAGCAGACCCTGGTCGCCACATCGACCAACCACTCAGAGATAATTGCTCTGTATGAAGCCACACGAGAATGTGTTTGGCTACGACGGATGATTAACCACATCCATAAGTCATGTGGTATGAACATCATCGACACCCCCACCATTATCTATGAAGATAATGCAGCTTTGTGTTGCACAGATGCATATGGGATATGTCAAGAGCAATCTCACAAAGCATATTGCTCCAAAATTCTTTTACCCCCATGAGCTCCAGAAGAGCGGGGAGATAAATATCCTGCAAGCAAGGCCATATGAAAATCTAGCAGATTTATTCACAAAGTCTCTGCCAGCCTCTAGCTTCCACAAATGTGTCCGTGGAATTGGCATGAGGCGACTTAGAGAGTTGTAGGGTTCAGGGGAGACCAACCCCAAATCCATAGCTCATGATCATGATCCTGAAGATCACGAGTCGGTCCTAAAGACTTGACCCGATAATCAATCTGTTGTACTCTTTTTCCCTTAGTGAGTTTTTTCCCACTGGGTTTTCTCATGCAAGGTTTTTAACGAGGCAACAGGTGCAACATAAGCGATGCATGTGATGTACTCTTTTCTCCTACCCTTTTTTTCCACTAGGTTTTGGGGGGGTGAGTTTTTAACGAGGCATACACATGGCATATAATTGGCCAAGGGTAATGTTGTGAATCAAAGTCCAAAAACAATGTGAACAACACACTTTGAATGGTGGCCAATTAAATGAAGAGGAGGAGAAAGTCTAAGAGTTCAGACACTGTAACTTTGTATTCATCTCAGCCTCCTTTGCTATAAATAGGAGATCACTTTCACCATTGTAAAAGTAGCAGCAAGAAGGTGAATACAGAAAAGAACTCCCCTCTTCCTCTACTCTGTTCTTGTTCCTGTGTTCTGTGTTCTAGTTCTTGTGTGTACCGACGAACCGATTTCTAACAGGAATCCCTATTGTGAAAGTGCTAGTGATGATGGATTACTCATCTGAACAACTAGTGAAAGGGAAGCTCGTCAGAATTGAATTTCTAATGGTATGTAACTAAAGCTTATCACAATTAAATTGAGAAATCTTATCACAATTTATTTGCTCCGTACTAAATACATTGCTCGCGGCTATACCTATTCTTACTGCATTCTGAAAAGTTCTATTTCAGTGATATTTTCTCGTTCCCAATCTTCCACACTGTAAGTCTGAACGTTGTGTCCCGATGATGCAGGCCTGCAATTACAGACTAGATACTGTCCAAACCTCTATATGACTATATGTGGGATGAAACCGGATCAGAATACAGACGGATACTAGTGATCCTGCATTATGTCCCATATCTCATATTATATCCATATTTTTTTATCAGATATTAAAACCGGATACGGATTATTCGGATATTGGTATCTATCTCATATACATATCAGAAATATGATTTTTGAGTATTCAGATTCGGATATGGTCGGATATTAAATGTTCGATTCAGATATGGACTATCCAAATAGTGTTTTGATCCTTTCGGGATGGACGGATACCGGAAAATATCCGTCCCGTTTTCATCTCTATATGTATCTACTTCGTCAGCTGTAAATTCTTATTGTATTAGCGATACAGGTTATATCTAATTGAATCATGACTGCACTAACTATGTATATAATACTTCATTACCAGTTCTACCTAATTACATTGTGGTTATTCTTGCTGATCAATCAACCTTCCATTTTTGAACAGGCACAATTTCTACTTACCCAATTGGAAACTACAAAATTATTTGATCGCATTCGCCAGCAGATCCTTTAAACTCGAACTCTGTCGCAAGCAAGTGGGGTGAAGTAATTCCTGGCGATACATTATGTAAGCATATATAGGATCGAAGTATCTTCTCCTTGCCGACCATAGTGATACATGCTGAGCTCACATCACAGATAAGAAAAGGATTTTCTTCTTCATGAACTATTCTCATGTGCCTTTTAAAATTCAAGGGGAACTTGTACAGTTCCAGACACCCCTAACTGTTTAACCAAGCAGTTGCTTTGTGCCTTTTTCCAGTTTTACTGCTTTTCCTGCCTCCTGATCAGCAGCAAAACAAGGAGATGCTTTGTGCTCGGTTTATGTTAGCAAAAAATTGTAAAGATGCTATTTTTCTTTTTTCTACCAAAACATGGTGTTACAAATATTTCGTCAAAGTTGAACAAAGAGATTGAGGAGAATGTTTGGGAAGTACATGCCCAAAACGCCGGCGATGACTTTGTGTTGTGGATAAATAATCAAGAAAACACAAGTGCAGCAAAGGCTGCAGCCATCGCACCGACCCCCACGGCCACAGTCCCTCCGCGCCGCGTCCCCGCCGGCGCGCTGGAGAGTGGCTCGTAGAACGACGGCGGCACCGACGGGAGACCGCGGCCACGCGCCACGCGCCACGCTGACCTGAAACCGCATCCCCCTCTGGCAGTGTTCCCCGTTCCAGGCGTCCGAGAAGAAGTAGTTGGCGCCCTCCGCCGTGAGCATCACGGCGAGGAACGCCCCCTCCGGCTTCCACCCGCTGCCGCCAGCGCTCGCCGCGACGCCGGCGCTGCAGAGCTTGTAGACCGTGGCGTTCGTCGTGTGCACCACCGTGTTGCCGGTGTCCGTCTTGAAGCCTTGCCATGGATCATCAATGGAGCACGCCACACAAGTGAGACATGTCAGTAACTAGCGTGGACTGATCGAGCTCCGACATACAGTGGTTTGGATTTGGACAGGGGAAGCTGAGAATGAAAACTCACTGAGATAGTCGCCGAGGTAGAATGTGCGGTTCGCAGCCCAGGCGGAGTAGTTGGCCGCCGAGGCGTTCGCCTTCCAGTCGAAGAACCACCCGGTGCCGTCGCCCACGGCGTGGTTCGTGCCAAACGGCGGCAATGGCGCTGTCGTGTTCTTGGTCGGGCTGGCCGTTGAATTGGCCGCAGAGCTTGGGCTCGCTGTCGTATTGCCTGCGGCTGCAGCGGTCGTTACGGCAAAAACGGCGACTGCTACTCGGAACATCATTGTGCGAATGCCCATGGCTGGCATCTCGGAAAGCTGGTGATGATGTGCTGCTAATGCTAGACTTCAGTCAGAAGCTTCAGATGCTAAATGGGCGACTATTCTTGTTAGTGAGGAGTGAGGACTAAATTAATGGCCGTGTCAACGGTTTATGCGGCATCCAGGTGGGGGCGGCGCCGGCCTGGGAAAGCTGCAGCCACCTGGCTAGGCACCATGCTGTGGCCGGTGACTAGATCCATGGACTGGTAGTACAGTTACAGTAATTGACAATGGTAATTTTGTGACCAAACCGCCTAGGAAATGGTGTTCACTTCATCAGATCTTTATATGATAATAATAAATTTAAAAGATAATTACTGTTCAGCGGAACTTGATAGAAAACATTTGAAAGTTGTATATTATTACTATTGTTGCGTTGAGTGAAGCTAACAATCATTTCAGTGCAGAAAATTCGTTACTGTATATTTACATCACAAATGTCATATATTCACATACAACGATGGGGACATTGTTCTCGTACAGTCATCATGTTTTCCGAGCTCATCTCTGGAGCTCGAGGTACTGGTGTAGTCATGTTCTGTAGTCTGTAGATAATCTTGACAGTTAAGTATCTGATTTGTGTGTATACTACAACTCAAGTACCACAACACTAGAACCCTTGCTGTGAATTGAACCCTTGCAAAGATGCCATGCCTGCGACCTGCTGTTGTGTTTCAAGTACTGATTGACTCAGTTACCAAGATGATATAGCGACAGGGTTCATTTTTCCGGTTCAGAAACTAGGACTTGCCCTTTGCACATCATCTCTTCAGATCTTGAATACAGAGCTTCTATAGGAAACTAGTAATAACCTATTTTTATAGTCCAGTTAATTGCTGCCCCCAGATCCATCTTCACTCTTCGAGTCACTTAGCATAGGCATGAACGCTGCAAGAAGAACAGCAACCTTGTTTGCCAGGAACCCTGCAGTGCCAACAAAGAGCTCGGTCGGTGTGAGTTCAAAGCTGTCACCTCCACCACCATACTTAAGTGCAACTGCACCTGCAACCAGTACCAGTGATAGTATCAACCATGGCCTCCTTACACCACTGAAGCCTTTTAACAAGGGCTGTGCACTGCCAGCTTCTGAAGGTGAACCGATCACGGGCAAACCATCAACCGATTTTTGGAGCAGCAACAGATAGAGGAACCCACCAATGCCACCTATCAGGAACGAATAGGCAGCACTGTCATTTGAAGCCAAGATGAAGGCGGAGAAGCCTGTGATCACTATAGATGCGTCATAGAGCAGCAGAGATTGTTTGAGGTTGGCGTACTCTCTCAACCCATCCTCTCTTAGTTCCTTAACACTTGAAGCTTTGCTTTCTGAGGATAACAGCCCTTCTTGAAGATCGGAAATGCCAACTCCTGAGAGGTCAGTGACAGCCACAGGCCTTGCTTCAGCTACTGAAGCTCCATCATCTCCAAGAAATGCATTTATTTTCTCAAAAGAGTACTGCAAACCGTTGAACTTCTGTTCAGGTGTTCCATTAATTTCTTTAGGTGGACCAACCGGTCCATGTATTACTTTCAAGCTCAAACCATCTAATCTCCATGAACCTGACCTTCAAGGGTAAAATTAATAAACAAAGGATAGAAAACACTCATCAAGTGAACATACTACCATTACATTATATTTGCAAATCTCCATGAACCTGACCTTCAAGGGTAAAATTAATAAACAAAGGATAGAAAACACTCATCAAGTGAACATACTACCATTACATTATATTTGCAACGAACATGAAATGGGACGTACCTGATTCAAGACCAATCCAGACTTCTTTAATCCTTTTCAGTTTTGAGGCCTTGAAAGTGACAACATCAACTGAACCACTTTGGAAGGGTATCAGTTGTGCTGTCTTAATTCCAGGTGTAGGTTGACCCAAATAGATTGCCGGTACTCTTTGTAGCAAGGAGTCACCATCAACATCAATTAAGCAGATTAAGATTGCAGAATTTTTATCCAAAGAGGAACTAAATTCTCTACTTGTGCTAAGATCTAGCACATAGAATGCATCAGAGTCATCTAGTATGATTGTGTTAAATATGTCTTCAGGAACAGTAATGGGATATGTCTTTAGTTCCTCTGCTGGAAGAAGGCGTGAAGGCTTTACAGAGGCAACCAGATCTGCAGAGTTGAAGGAACAATGGTCACTGAATGGTATGGACAGAATGGTAAATTTTCACAACCAAGAAACATAGCTTTCATGTTGTCAATAATAAATAATAAAATGAGAAAACAAACTACAACTACATTGCAGCCGGTAAAGTGAAAAGTTAATATGATTCGTTGTGGAAACAGAAACAGTTGCATGAGGATTCCATGCCCTAGGAAAGCAAACAACTGCACAATATGAATGCATACTATATTGATGGGTATATTGACAAAGAACAATCACATAGAAATACATTGTTTACCGGTGCACAGAAATAAGCTTGGATCGACAACATCAAAAGTCTGCTCAGACAGTACCTTGAAACGAAAACCCCTTGGAGAAGCAAGCCATCCTCTGATGTCTGTTCTGTCTTTTCGGTTTCATTCTGTCTGGAAAGACATGGCAATACATTCTCGAGCTATTGTTCAGCAGCAACCATCTGGGCAAAAAATTATGGTGCACTGATGGAGCAACACACCCTGGACAGAGGATCACCATTCTCTGTAGTAGTGATTGATAGCGAAGCAGACATATTAGCTACAGCAAACAGGGGTGCAGATAGCTCTGATATGCTCGTTACCAGCGTATTAAAATATCAATGCATTAAGGCTCATTCACATTTCGTGACTGAAACCTTCGGGAGCCGAAGTACCAAGCTAATTAAGGACCCACAAAGAAGTCAAAGGCACCATTAAGGGGTCGTTTGGATTGGAGGATTTCAAAGGAAAATCGTAGGAACCGGAAAACAGAGGAAAGGAAGTAGGAGTGAGTGTTTGGAATGGAGGATTCACGCAATCTCTTTCCTATGGAATGCTGTAGCTTGCTAGCGATTTCACAGGAATCAAAAACTCCACTCGCATCCAAGGTTTTCTTTTCCTTCGCGGAAGGCTGAGAGGCAGCGTGTGATTCCTATGTTATGAATTCCTCCGTTCCAAACAGCCTAAATTTTCTGTTCCTGTGTTTTGAAATCCCGTAGTTTTTCACTTTTCATCATAACTTATTCCTGCGTTTTTTCCTATTCCTGCGTTTTGCATTCCTTCGTTCCAAACAGGCCCTAAAACTGTGAGATCAGCGGGGGCAGAGGTTACATGTGAAGGTAGCAAATGGCCACCCGTGCACTAGTATTTGATCATGGGGTAGCAAGGAGAAGAATTATGCCTAACGAACAAATCAAAGATAATAACATAACTGAACTGAACTGCGATAACAGCATGTCAGCATGGACAGGATTGGTCACTATTAGAATAGCACACCTCAAGTGAAGGCAAAATCACCTACTATGCTTGCTGTCCCATAGGGCAGTGGTACACAAACAAATAAGCTAGGTTGCAACAAAGAACTAGACTTAAAAATTCATGGCCCGCCTTACCGGATGCAGGAGGAATTGGTTGAGGCGCGGATGTGGGATCTCTACCCGGCGGCGCTCCAGTCCGCAGGAGAAGACGAGGAGGACGAGGCCGTCGGATTCCGTGGAGCTAGTGGCGTGTACTCCGCTTCTTCCTGGGGGGGAGGAAGAGGCGTGCCGCGTTGGAGTTCGGCAGCGGAGAGAGACACGTGGGAGAGGGGACGGACTCGCGGTCTCGCGGAGAGAGACCCGTGCGAGGGTGCTTTCGGGATTTCGCGGCTTGATATTTTCTGCCCGGAGGAAAACTGTGGTTGCAGCTCAATCCAGTCAGGGCGTCCGCAGTGTGGAGCATCGGGGGCGTTCCGATCGACCGGACCTGGACATGACTCGTCCTGTTATTCAGCCCATAGGGGATCGAACCAGACTCAGGCCCTGTTTATTTAGGTTTATAACAGCCCATTGGGGATCGAATTAGACTCAGGCCCTGTTCATTTAGGTTTGTTTGACTTGTTTTCAGTTAATGAACAGTATTTTTCTATCACATTAAATCAGTCAATAGTACTTTCAGTTATGGTTTATAAACCAAACACGACCGAACGAATAGGCTGTTAGCTCGATTGCCGGACCCACACAAAAAAAAAAGAGGGGACGTTTCTCCGTCGATAGCTCAGAGCTGCTCCTCCATCAAACCCACCCCACAATGTTACGTACCTGGTTCCTATAGCTGCATTTAATACATGGAAACACTCCGATGGGCCTGAGAATAGTGGTATGCGTGTATTGGTTTAGGCTGTTGTCAGACAGGCAATAGTGTCTATTGTTTTTTTCTGTTATTAGTTTCTGTTTTTTTTCAGTGACCAATTCAGTTTGTTTTCAGTCATCTGTTATTCAGCTTTCTGTCTGCATATTCAGTTTAGGTTTTTGTTTGCAATCTGCATACTCGGTTCAGGTTGTGTCTGCATATTCAGTATTTTAGACTCTGCATATTGATTATCAATTTTTCATCATGGGAATTCAGTGAAACTCTTACTGAACCAACATTCACTATTTAGGTGATGCCTCTGCTGACGGAGGCTGGAGCCATTACCGGTTTTACTCGAAGACAACCACCACTGCTTGACATATGTGTTACCATTCCCGTGCTTAAAATAAAGATGCTTTGCAAGCGCTGAACTTGCAGTTGTCAGATGCTATCTGGGATTGACTCATTCTCAGATATAATAAAGATGGTATGCACATTGACTCAATAGTTTTGGGCCAATCAGAAAGCACAAAAGCATGCTAACCTGCAAGTCTTCGCGTGGCCTCCTCCGCGGCGCCTCCTCCGTCGTGGGCAATATATGTTGGATAAAATACTCGTGGCTCGCCAACTCGCTCGACTTGTGGCCGGCTCAGCTCGGCTCGACTCAGCTCGTTTTAACTTTTTCACGAGTTGAGCTAGAAGTCTAGCTCGTTATTTTAACGAGCCAGCTCGC